GTTGTGAAAATAAACTCCACAGCTGCTCATCAAGCTAAGGAGAACTATGTTTGTGGCCAGGAGTACCTGCCGCCTTCAATGTCCTAGACAGAGCAAGCCTGCCTGACTGTCCAGCTACATTTCTTCTGCAAAGCCATGGCCTTAATTCAATCTCAAATTCTCGTCCTCCATCCTCAGTCATTGTCACATCATGCATCCGAGAGATGGGTCTCACGAACATTGCTACACTTTCTATCCCTCTTGAGACCCCAAGTGCATTAGACTGACCCATCTCCTGCCCCGTGCTTTGTGCCACGTGAGTTTAATTCATTTAATAGGATTCTAGCATCTCAATTTGATCTGTGAGGTTTTCTGTTCAATAGGTTGCTTCGCAGTTATACTTGGAGGTAGAGCTACTTTGCATTAATTTCCCAGGCATTTAACCTTTTAAAATTCTCAAGGACACTCTCTCCCAGGACCACAGGGTAGACATCAACCACCCAGGAACTGGGAAGCCCTTAAGGAGAAGCTCGCCACCAGCTGCTGCTTTTCAATCTGGTTTCACTTCAACCTCACACAGAGGAATCTATTCAAATGCCTACATTTCGGTCGAACTAACTTCCTGTGCCAGAAGCTTTTGTCGGCCCCAACTGCTTCTTTATCTAACAAATTCCCTTTATCTCCCACTTGAGGCAAAGCTCACTGGGCCCCGGGAGGCATGCAGTATTTACTAAGGGCCCTCCCCCTTTCCTGCCTCGTCTCGCAGCTGTCTGCCTTTACCTTTGGGTCTCAAAGTCATGGCGTTTTTTTCCCCGTAGACACCAAGTTTTCTGAATAGTAGGATTATTCAGAACAGGATGAAATTTGTCCTTTACCCCGAGAACTGGGTGCTTGAAATTCACTAAGCAAAGCCTGTACTCCTCCCACTTCTGGGCTTTGAATCCAGACTGTGGAATTCAGAAGACCCAGGCAAATTCAACCTAGTGTGCCTCTTTTCTTCAGTCACAAACTGAAATGGAGACGCAAGCTGAAAATCAAGACAACGTGAATTTTAAAAGCTAAAATATAATAAAGTAAATATGACATTGGAAGTAACATCCACCTCCTTTAGGAGGATGAAGAGAGCAAGATTTTCAAAAGGGATGTGGAAGGATGAGAGAGGCTGGCAGGTGACTTTATAATTTCCTTTTTCACCTTATTCCCTTCTATTATACTTAATATACCTGGTAATCCCATGACCAAAAGCAAGGATAACTGAAAGACTTTAAATTGCTATCGTTAACAGCAACATAATTTGTAATGGCAAATAATCAAAACAGAAACAAATTATGTGTAATATTATACAGCAATTAGCATGAGTCAATACAGCAGTTAAATTCATTGGTGGGGAAAGATACTTGCTTACCTGAATTTCACTCTTTTCGTTATCAGAAATGTTTTGATAGAGAATATTGAAGGAAGAAACTATTTCAACCTCGGCTAAAACATTTAATAAGGAAAATAGGGACTCTTAATGTGCTTGAATGTAGTTGTCAGGTTTTAACATTTATCTAAGGTATCTCAGATAGATCTCTAAATTTTGACATGCAAAGAGGCTGAAAAGTGTAATGCCAAGTGGATAAAAACAAGGCTTTCAGAAGAGGAATGTATGGTATAATCCTGTTACAATGTATTAACAGCCCATTAAAATTGACCTGTAAAAACCACCCATATTACATATACTAAAACACCTGTAGGAATATACTAAATTGCTAATGTTTACTAGATTCACTTCATTATGTATTTCTCTGTTGCTTAAATTAGTTTTTAATAGTAATATTCTTTTAGTTTTGCAATCAAAATGTCCAGTCTTTTAAAAAAAGACTTTTTAAAGTCTTTCTTTGGGGGACTTCCCTGTGGCCCAGTGGTTAAGAATCCGCCTGCCAATGCAGGGGACCCGGGTTTGAGCCCTGGTCTGGGAAGATCCCACATGCTAGGCCCATGCGCCACAACTACTGAGCCCACACTCTAGAACCCACGAACCACAGCTACTGAAGCCCGCGCGCCTAGAGCCCGTGCTCTGCAACAAGAGAAGGCACCGCAATGAGAAGCCCGCGCACCGCAACGAAGAGTAGCCCCCACTCGCCACAGCTAGAGAAAGCCTGCGCGCAGCAACGAAGACCCAACGCAGCCAAAAATGAATAAACAAATATATATTAAAAAATTAAATAAAAACTTTCTTTGGTTCCTTGGTGGTTGTGGATTTTACTATCCTGCCGCCTTAGGTTTTTTACCTTTAATATCCATTGGGGATAAGAAACAATAGATGAGGGACTTCCCTGACAGTCCAGTGGTTTAAGACTTTGCCTTCCAATCAATGCAGGGGGTGCGGGTTCAATCCCTGGTCCGGGAGCTAAGGATCCCACATGCCTTGGGGCCAAAATACCAAAACATAAAACAGAAGTAATATTGTAACAAATTCAATAAAGACTTTTAAAATGGTCCACATTAAAGAAAAATCTTAAAAAAAAAAAAGAAACAATAGATGAATGGCATTTCTGTAAATAGCTAATTTCCAAAAGCAAATAAAATGATGAACATCAGAAATCCATCTCTCTAGGCTTCCCCGGTGGTGCAGTGGTTGAGAGTCCGCCTGCCGGTGCAGGGGACACAGGTTCATGCCCCGGTCTGGGAAGATCCCACATGCCGCGGAGCAGCTAGGCCCGTGAGCCATGGCCGCTGAGCCTGAGCGTCTGGAGCCTGTGCTCCGCAACAGGAGAGGCCACAACAGTGAGAGGCCCACATAATGGAGAAAAAAAAAAAAAGTGCTGACAGTGATTTCATGTAGCACAATCAATGCTTTCTGTTTCCATTCTCTGTTCAGTTAACACGATGCTTGGCAAAAATATCTGCCAGTCAAAAAGAATACTGTGTGAACTTAGGTCTTGGCAGAAATTACTTATCCCTGACTTCCTCTTTAGTCAAATGTCTAAACTCATTGGGTCTGACAGTATTATAGAGCAACATTGGAAAACCGGGGGGAGCCACGAGGGAAATGACTAAGAAAACCTCTCTGGTTATTCTCAGTATCTCTGCTGCTGCAGCAAGTTGGAGGTTTCCATGGAGCAAGAAGGCAGAGTGAGGAATTAAAGGGCTTCCAGTCAGATCAACAGCCAGCCAGGATGGGAAAGGGACAGTGAAAAAAAGGGTTAGTATCAGGCATAGCTCCTTCTAAGGGGAGAACACAGTTTACCTGAAAAAAAGATAAAATTCTATTCCAAATCAGCCTTAGAATTTACTTATATTTTGGTCTATGATTTTTTTTTAATGTTAAACATTAATAGATTCATACATTAAAGCAATGCATTAAGTTGTGCTTTGGGGGGACTTCCCCGTCGGTCCAGTGGTAAAGACTCCGCACTTCCACTGCAGGGAGTGCGGGTACAAACCCTGGTCAGGGAACTAAGATCCCACAGGCCCCCCCACCAAAAAAAAACAAGAACACAAAACAAAACAAAAATCCTGTGCATTGTAGCTGGTCTACACATTTAAACAGTGTCCTAAAAAATAAAAGGTGTCGGGCTTCCCTGGTGGTGCAGTGGTTGAGAGTCCGCCTGCCGATGCAGGGGACACGGGTTCGTGCCCCGGTCCGGGAAGATCCCACATGCCGCGGAGCGGCTGGGCCCGTGAGCCATAGCCGCTGGGCCTGCGCGTCCGGAGCCTGTGCTCCGCAACGGGAGAGGCCACAACAGTGAGAGGCCCGTGTACCGCAAAAAAAAAAAAATTAAAAGAGGTCAAAGCTGTCATTTAAAAATAAGCTTATTTTGGGACTTCCCTGGTGGTCCAGTGGGTAAGACACAGCACTTCCACTGCAGGGGTTCCAGGGTTCGATCCCTGGTTGGGGAACTAGATCTCTTGCAAGCATGCCACAACTAAGGAGCCCGCTTGCTGCAAGTAAAGAGTCCGAATGCTGCAACGAAGATCCCACGTTCTGCAACTAAGACCTGGCGCAGCCAAAAAGAGGAAAAAGAAAAGAAAACCTATTTCAACATAACTTTTTCTGGCAGAAGAGCAGTCACAGAACCTTTCATATGTGAGTTACAGGGGGAGATTCTAATTCGTCCACCTTTCCCCCTCCTCCCTCAGCTCTGTCTACCTTACATTATTTGCCTCGCCCCTGGCTGCCCTTCATTTAGCCTCTTTACAAACCTAAGAACTCTTGTTTATCACTTCTTTGCTCCCGATCTTCCAGATGTGGCACTCTTCTTTAACTGCAAACAACCACAAATTTTGTTTCAACATTACACACACGAGGAGGAAATAAGTTTGTTCAGGTTTAATTAGTCATCTAGTATTGTATATTTGGTTACCTTTCCTTTACTCCTAAGATAGTAGTCTCCCAGATGGCTAGATTAACTTCTTCCCCCCGTATCAAAAACTACTCCCATGTTTAGTCAGATTTTTACTCATTGAATCACTGGGTGAAATCAGGGGAGAGACAACTAAATGTAAAATGGGTAATTTTTTTATTTATTTGTACTTATAAATGAACCAGCCAACTGGTAGTATTATGATGTGGACAAATCAAAACATCTTTCTACAAATACTAGAGTGGTGGAAAAAATTAGGGGTTGTAAGTAAAATAAGCAAAAACGGGTAGAGGGAATCAGTGAAGCACATTGTAGCTTAACCCTTCACCTTAACAACTGAGGTTCTTAACAAGTAAAGCCTCCCCATCCCAGAAAATACGAATAATCCTTCATCACACATCTTTGTACTTTTGCTCCCTATTCTTGAGGTTAGGTTCTAGATCCTAAAGATATCCGAAAAATAGTATTATAACCTAGTTATCTATAGCCGCCAGTCATCTTTTATCATGTTGTCCGTAGAAGCCAATGCTTCTGAAACCTCTTTGATTAGACACCAATCATATACCCCCAAACTGACACATAGGCACAATGAAAAGCAGCTTATCCAGGCAGAGAGAGACGTAATTGTAAAAGAAAAATTCTAGGGAAGTAATACAGTCACGGCTCAAATTGAGATTGAATAATACAGCCATCGTTACAAATCTTCAGGCTGTATGTTCAGAGAGTAATTTGGGAATAAATCCATGATTTGCTGTTGGGAATTGAAATACTTAGCAGTTTGCTGTATTATGTTATAGCTTTCCCCAGCAGTTTCCAAGGTGGCCTCCAAATCACTGACAGGAGAATTTTGCTGGTACTGGATCTGGGGCTGCAGGAATTCCTCAACATAGTTGTTGAATTGATTGTTCCAAGTCTGATTATTCCAGGCTTGGGGGCACCAGGTCTGACTGTTCCAGCTCTGGTTGTTCCAGGACTGACTGTTCCAGCTCTGGTTGCTCCAAGTTGGGTTATTCCAGGTCTGGTTACCCCACATGGGCAGGTTTCCGGAAGAGTTCACCAAGCATCCTTGGTGGTAGGAATAGAAGCCCGGGTATTCTGTAGTTGCTGGGCCCTTTTGAAAGAGAAGGATGGATTAATTGAAAAGGCACAAGGAAAATCAGAATTGTCTGAAGTTGGGATTGCATGCTTCAGCAATGGATACAAATCTATCTAAAAAGTCCTTGTTAGGAAAGAGCAGAAAAGTAAGTTTCCTGTTACCTGAGTCACAATGTTGCTATTCCTGGGCCAGTTGTTTTTCTGCCACCTCTTACATTTCATTCTCTGGTTCTGGAACCAGGTCTTAACCTGCAGGGAAAAGGTAACAGGAAAACACAAAATACTAGTAATGCAGGATATACTGGGATCAAAGAATATTAAGTTTTTGTTTGTTGCTTTTTCCGATAGCTACAACTATCTCAAACTCAGAACAAAATTTTAACTTCTAGAGTCCTGTCTTAAACCTTCAATCTGTGAGTGAATTTCAAGCCCCTCAAGTCAGTGGGCTACTTTATGTTTAATAAACCTAACCAGATAGAACAGAACACACCACAAGTCTGCTACTAACTAGGAAGTTCACATTTAAATGTCTACCCACGCCATTAGTCACAGTTAAAGGTAATTGGTTTGCAATGAAAAGCCCACCTCCATATAAGCACATTTACACTTAATGTGATAATGGTATTTTAATTCAGGAATTATGAAACATACCACAAGGACAGCTATTTAGAAAATATCAAATTATATTGCAGCACAGAATAAACTAAACTTTGCAGATGGCTTGTAAACTCTGAGTTAGAAAATGAGATCAGAGAGGTAGAAGAATATATATATATAAAATAAGATCATGGAATAGGACTTTCCAAGTATGGCGCCAGTAACTGAATAAAATGGCCAGTAAATATATGAAAAATGATTAGCAGATAAAAACAAAACATACAATTTTAATTTTAGTAAGAACAAGTGTTGCCTAGGGACTCTTCTAACTCGGAAGATAGGGGGGTATATTCTTCCTTTTTTTAAGGAAAATTGGAAACATTTTCACAATTCTGGTTTGTGCAACAAGGGAAGTGGTTAAATAAATTACGACACATTGGGAGAGGGCGTCGGGGAGGGATGGACTGGGAGTTTGGGATTAGCAGATGTAAACTGTTCCATGTAGGTTGGATAAACAAGGTCCTACTGTAGAGCACAGGGAACTATACTCAATATGCTGTGATACACCGTAATGGAAAAGAACATAAAGAAAAGAATGTCAAAAAAAATTGACGCATTGCCACAAAACACATTACAAAAAGTTCCATTTTCATATTGAAAGTTAACTTGTGGGCTTCCCTGGTGGCGCAGCGGTTGAGAGTCCGCCTGCCAATGCAGGGGACACGGGTTCGTGCCCGGGTCTGGGAAGATCCCACATGCTGCGGAGCGGCTGGGCCCGTGAGCCATGGCCACTGAGCCTGCGCGTCCGGAGCCTGTGCTCCGCAACGGGAGAGGCCAAAACAGTGAGAGGCCTGCGTACCGCAAAAAAAAAAAAAAAAAAAAAAGTTAGCTTGTTTGCAGGGGTGCATAAACAGAGTACATAGAAATTAACCTTGTTTCTTATTTCTTGTTGTATCAAACAAGAAAACAACCATACCTGTTTGTAGCTAAGGTTCAGGATGTTGGAAAGTTCTTGCATTTGCTGGAGGCTGAGGTATTTCTGCCTCTGAAATCTGTCATTGAGCACACACAGCTGCGTCTGAGAGAACACGGTTCTGGTCTTCTGCTTCTTGACCAGGACCTTCTCTTCCTTCTTCTCTGTGCTCTTGTCTGCAGCCGTGGCCAGTAGTTTTACTCTGGGGCTTGTGGAAGAATCAGGACTGTCCTGAATAAGCAGATCCATGGAGAAGGAAGGAAGAGGAGAGACTGTTGGGAACAAAATGACACTTTTCTCTAAAACTTCAAATATTGAAAGTTTATTGTTTTCAAAGCACTATTAAAGTCCTCAGAGGTAGATAATGAGTAATAACTTTATTTTTAAGCAATCCTGAACACTTCGCTAACCTTTGCGCAAATGCCATTTTGCATGTCACGGACATGGCTAATATGTATTGCTGGGAAGCGGAGGGGGACTCAAACCTCTTCTTTCTGCCAATCAAAGCTCAGGAGCCCACACCCTGGCTGTTCTCAAAGGTCAGAATCATCACTTGACTCCCGCCTTTGTGTCCTTCCACAACTTCCTCTATGTACCTTAATCATCACCTACTTAATTTTTTTTTTTTTTGGTGGAGCCGCATGGCTTGGGGGAAATCTCAGTTCCCTGACCAGGGATTGAACATGGGCCACGGCAGTGAAAGCCATGAATCTTAACCACTAGATCACCAGGGAACTCCCACGTACTTAATTTTGAAACAGATGATCCAGGTTCTGGGGATCCTATAAAATCAAGTTTGCTGCCCGGTCTTAATACCAGGACTATCGGGAAATGTGAATTCTGATAAAGCTCCTGTTTCAACCCAGACTTTGTGATTTCATCTCCAAAAGTATTCCTCCCTCATGATTTTTTCGTTTGTTTTCGCGGTTGGACTAAGCTAATCATAGGTTGTTTTGGTGGTTTTTTGACTGAAGTATAGTTGCTGTACATTATATAAATACAGGTGTACAATATAGTGATTTACAATTTCTTAAGGTTATACTTCATTTATAGTTATTATAAAATACTTGTCATATTCCCCGTGTTGTACAGTATATCTCACGGAGTTTCTTTCACCGATTAAAATGAGGTAACAGAAATAAAAAATTTAAAAACAAAATGAGGCAACAGAAACTGTCTAGCACAGGGCCTGGCATATATTATTGACTTTGTAACTAAAAATTTATATCCTGTATTACTTAGATTTATTTGCACAGACGTATTCCCGGTGCTTAACTCCAATTCTACCCTAGTCGTGGAATAAATGGACAGGCTTTAAAAGGCAAAAGACTTCACAATTTCACAAGTAGATCTAAGAAGGAAAGTCCTCAGCTAATGACTAGAAATGGGGCATGTCTTAAAAATTATCTATACAGGGCTTCCCTGGTGGCGCAGTGGTTGAGAGTCCTCCTGCCGAGGTAGGGGACTCGGGTTCGTGCCCCGGTCCGGGAAGATCCCACGTGCCGCGGAGCGGCTAAGGCCTGTGAGCCATGGCCGCTGAGCCTGCGCGTCCGGAGCCTGTGCTCCGCAACGGGAGAGGCCACGACAGTGAGAGGCCCGCGTACCGCAAAAAAAAAAAAAAAAAAAAAAAAAATTATCTATACAGACTTGCCCTTGGCTTGCTAGGAGGACATGTCCATTGCTCATTCCCGAGCTATTTGTCTCACAATCCAGCGCTGTAGCTGTATTTTCAACATTTGAAATTATAAAAGGACATTAACACAAAATCTGGAAAAATAGGGTAACATTAAAATCCAGCACTCAAATATAAGTTATTTTGTTTACTTATTCCTTTCTCCACAACTTACTTCTATGGTTGTAATCATAAATGTAAACAGATTTTAAGCTATTTTATGCCATAAATGTTAAAAATAGCATGCCTGGGTAAAGGTTGGTCTACCTTTTCATTTGTAACAACTACTGCCAAACTGATTTCCAAAAAAGTTTGTGCCGGCTTTACAATATCCGAGCACCTCTCACACCCAAAATTACCAATTAGAAGCCTAAATATTAAGAGTATAGAATTCAAAGCCAAACTGGATTTCAAATCTGAGCTCTCACCACTTTGACTGTCGGTATATTAAACCTTTTGGAATCATCCACCATAAAATGGGGTGAACGCTTCCTCGGGATTTAGGAGACTTGAGCATAGCAGGTGCTTACAAACTCAGCTGCCCAATAATGTCCTCACATCCAGAGGTTAGGGGAAGAGCCGACCGCTACTGTAGTAGAAAGGTAAAACATTTCCAAAAGGTGCGTTTCATATACGTTAAGATTTACGCATCAGTTGATCACATCACGTTTGCGTTTCCACAGTGCCTACACACGTAAGCTCTCAAATACACCGCGTACAGTTGAATGGCTGAGTCCCGTATCCCGCGTCTCTCCGTCCACAGCTCTTATCGCCCGGAACATTGGGGAAAGGGCATGACCCCATCAAGTTACCGTTGAAAAAGAGGTGTCGAGAGGATGAATAGATAATGACACCTGCTTATATTGATGGGCTCAAGAGGAAAACAGATAACCCTTAGCCTCTTTCCTTCTTTCCCTTTCCCTGAAGGAACTTAGCCTCTCAAGGATTCAGTATTTTCTTACCAGTCTCCATGTCGTGGGTCTCAGCAGATGCCATTTGCAAGGACACATAATTTTCTTCAGGCCCATAAATCTCAGGCGTTGGTGAAGATTCCCTAGAATTGGATGCTTCGGGGCCACGCAGGCTT